TGGTCTGATGCTGAGTGAAGTGAGCAGAACCAGGAGAATATTGTACACAGTAACAGCCATGTTGTGTGATGACTAACATTGATAGACTTAGCTATTCTCAGCAATGCAAGGATCTAAGACATCTCTAAAAGTCTCATGATGGAAAATGCTATCCACATCCAGAGAAAGAACTATGGAGTTTAATGCAGATCAAAGCATACTTTTTGCTCTTTTTTTTTCTTTCTTCTGTTGTGTTTTGTTTCCTCTTTCTTGTGGTTCCTCCTATTGGTTCTAATTCTTCCTTACAACATGACTAATGTGAAAATATGTTTAATAGGAATGTATATGTAGAGCTTATATCAGATTGCATGCTTTGTTGGGGAGGAAGGTGAGGAAGAAAGGGGAGAAAATTTGAAACTCAAAAGCTTATGGAAGTGAATGTTGAAAATTAAAAATTAATTAATTAATTTTTTTAAAAAACTACCTTACTTGTGTACTTTTGACATTCAATTTCCTGCCTCCTTGACTTTGCGCAGGCCAGCCTCCATGCATTTACCTCTGGGGAAAGGAAGAAGCCTTGTGCTAAGTGCTTTACAAATATTATCTCATTTGATTCTCACAACAGCCCTAGGAGGTAAGTGTTATTATTATCCTCATTTTATACATGAGGAAACTAAAACACAGGAGATTAAGGGGCTTGCCACACAGTCACACAGCCAGTAAGTGCCCGAGGTTGGATTTGAACTTTTGACTTCAGACCAGTGTTTTAGCCACCTAGCCACCAGCTGTCTCTCAGAATCCCTGACTTCCTTCAAGGTTTTAATCAAATGCCACCTCCTACACATAAGTTTTCCTGACTCCTCCACAGTAGTTAGTGCTCCTCTTTCCTGTCCACCTTAAAAATCCACCTTAAAAATGTTTGGAATATATATATATATATACTGGAAACACTGGATTTGGAATCAGGGGACCTAGGTTTAAGTCCTAAGATATTGACTAATTATGTGGACTTGATCAAGTCATCTACCACTCCGGCCTTCAGTTTCACCATTGGTAAAATGAGGGGGTGAAAGGTCAGATTAGATGATCTAATAATGTCCCTTCTAGCTTTTTAAAACTCTCAGGCCCTTATCCTCAGTCAGGAAGCTGTTGGAAAGTAAGCAAGAGGGCTACTCCTATGAATGTTTGGTCCAGGATTCCCAGTTTGTGAAGATTTTCATCAAATCAAATTTTGTTCTGCTACTGACCTAAAACAATGCCATCTATGCCAATGTGTACTTTACTCTTGCCAAGAAATAAACTTTCATTAGTCATCATTCAGGCCCGGTGTAAGAATCAAGGGGGACAATATACTTTGGATGTATCCGAGTTGAGAAACCAGCTATTTACCAACTGTTTTATTCATAAACAAAACCAGACTTTTTCAGGATCTAGTACTCTGGCATTTCTGACTCTCTCTCTCTCTCTCTCTGTCTCTCTTTCTCTGTGTGTGTGTGTGTGCATTTGCCTGCTCTGAGAGCTCATCCTGAACCAACCAGATTGAACTGACCCAGAACCCCACAGAGGCTGCAGGGTTTAAAGTTTACACTCAAATTGCACATTGCTTACCATAAGCACACTACCAAAGAGAAAGAGGCAAGGTGGGGGGGAAGGGAGGAATCTGAATCCCCTTATGTTCAAATTATTCAAGCAAAACAAAATATAGTGGAGCTCAAAAATGAGACAATTTTGACAGGTTTCCAAAAACTGAATGCTCTTTGGGATAGCTTTTCAAGTATTTTAAAGGAATGTCTAACCAAGTTATATACATCATCTTCAAGTTCTTTGATAGAATGTTTTCATCAAGGCACCATTGTTCAGGATCTACTTTCCAAAAGCATAATATTTCACACTTAAAATGATTTAAAAATTCCAGAGGACAGGTTCTTGAAATGGAATATAGGATTTAGAGCTGAAAAGGACCCTGGAGAACCCCCTCATTTTACAAATGAGGAAACACACCTATAGAGTTGAAATGATTTGCTGAAAGCCACACAGGTAGTAAGTAGGATAACTAAGATTTAAATTCAGGGCTGTTTCTCTTGTATCACAATGACTTTTAAATGAACAAAAATCTCTTTCTAAGGCAAATCAGTCAATAGAGATAGGCTCAGGGCATATCCTTTGATCCAGTGATTCTGCTACCAAGTCTATGCCCC